AATTCACCCGCTAAGCCAGCTTTAGGTGACAGGAGTGATGAAGATCCAACCTTCAAGCAGGGGTTAACGCAATATGAATAATGAAATTTTAACCGGGGGGGGGCGGTAATGTGAATTATATTTCCCTTGGTGGTGTGAAATTTTTAATTAGTGCACTTTTTATTTTATTTTTTATTTTAGAGAGAGAGAGGAAGGGAGAGAGAGAGAAAGGGAGAGAAAGAGACACATGGATTTGTTGTTCCACCTACTTATGCACCCATTGGTTGCCTCCTGCTGTGCCCTGACCAGAGATCAAACCCACAACCTTGGGGGATCAGGACCACGCTCCAACCAACTAAGCTTCCCAGCCAAGGCTATTGCATTTTTCCAAATGTGGAGTAGACCAGAGAGAAGATGCCCCTCCAGGAGTGCCACACTCTTGAAAAGGTGTTGCACTTCTCTACCGGACAATGAAGGCTGATGAAGACAATAGGAAGCACTGGCTGTCTTTCCTATGTCCTCATTGTTTTCTATTTTCTGCAGTTTTTCTTCCTTTTATCTCCCATTAGTTAAGTATTCCACTCTCCATATTTTCTTGGGTATAAAATGTAGAGGGAGTCCTTGGCCTGCTTTTAGATCTGACAAAGTGACTTGGGAGAGAAGTTCATTCCAGGTTTGTTATGAAAAATAACTGGGACCTTCTCTCCTCGAGCCATTTATATTCCACAACTCTGCCAAGAAAACCTTCCTCTCCAGCCCCCTAGTTAATTTATACTTGCTTTTTAGAGATTATCTTAAACATTTCCTCAAGGAAGACTGGGTCAGAATCCCAAAGATGTCACCCCATGGATTTATTTGTCTTTTTAAACAAACTGCAATTTTAATGAAATAGTTTTGTAATCAGCTGTATATCTTTCTGCCCCATTAGAGCATAAGTTCCCTGTAGCATCTATTTTAGCATCTCTGTTCTTTATTCTCCATTGTGCATTATATCATTATATCCTTTGTCTTGCACAGTATAAAGACCACAGTGTTTTTCAACAGATGTTAAAAGTATGAACAAATATATAGAGCAAACACACAGAATCAGAGAATTCTTTTAAAGTAGAAATTTGAACTACTGTACATATGGTCTTTTCCAAATTTCTATCTCATATATGATCCTCCAGGAAGGATAGCTAAACCTCTTTCTCATTTCTGTCTTGTTAATTTGGGGAGAAAATTAAAACTCATAGTTTTCAGGGGTTTTTTTCTTTGAAATAAAAGCACAGAGAGTAGCCTGAGAAAACATCCAAACACTTAATGGATTAACTAAATGCAAAAGTAGGAGACTTTAGTGACGTGCCGTACACAGAAACCCAGTGCCAATTAGTATGCACAGAAATAGTTCTTTCAATAGACCCTCTAGTTTTCTTATCAAGGGTTATTATCTGTAAATCAAATATTTAAAAGATTTTCTTTTGGGGGGCCTTGGGCATGGGTTTTAAAATCTTTGAAGATCTCTGTTGTTAACTCTGCATATGAAATGCCATAGTAAGCTTTGAGTAAGGATTACCAGACAGGTAGTTATAAAAGGAAGGGATTAGTCAGGGATTAGCTGAAGATTAAATAAACCACTCTAGCTATTTTTAACAGAAACAGGCAAAATATAGGGAATTCAATCCTTACAAAATTCTTAGAAGAGCTGAAGGACTAGATTTTACGCTGAGCTGAGCTTTGGGGAGTACTCCCGGAACACACCACCACATCACAGAAGCTGACCTGTGAAGGAAACAGTTATCTCTACTATAATTAAAAAGCTGAGGAATCAAGAAGCTGTTTTCCTACCTGCTGGCTCCAAAAATATCCTGCCTTACCTGTCAAGCAGGAATGAGGGAGCTTCACTCAGAAATATTGATTCCAGAGCCATCTTCCTTTCTAAACTTTAACAGATCAGAATTGAGTTAAAATTTACAATTTTTTTCCAGAAGGGATTGAATTGTTATCACATGTAGTCTTTCAATTTAGAGACCATAAGCTTTTAGCTCCAATTTTTCAAAAGTGTGATAGTTCTTTCAGTAATGTGTTTCTTTTCTTTTTTTTTTAATTTTTTAAAATATATCTTTATTGATTTCAGAGAGAGGAAAGGAGAGGGAGAGAGAGAGAGATAGAAACATCAATAATGAGAGAGTCATTGATTGAGCCCAATTTAGAATATATGCTATTTGGCCAGATTGCCTCTGTTCCTTACTATATATAAAATTAACTAAATTCATTAACTTCTCTGTGCCTCAGTTTCTCTTTAAAATGGGCATTGTCATAGTTAAGTGGTCATTGGGAGGATTACAAGAGTTGATACAAATAAAGTGCTTAAAATAGTGTCACAGCAAGTGCTCAATAGATGTTAGCTATTATCCTATTCTGTATTCTCTGCTTAATCCTGATTAATAGTGGACTCCTCTGACAATCTGTAACATTGTTTTAATGCAGCGAAAGGAGAAAAATAAGAGGAGGAATAAGAAAAGTACCTCTTTACCAGAAAGGAGGTACAGTTTTTAAACTAAGAATTAACTGGAATTAATTTGCATGCCTAGATTATT